CCCTAAAGTGCTGGAACTGTGGAGTTGAAAGCCATGTACGAAGGAACTGCAGAACACCCCAGGGTACAGAAACTAAGACCATTTCCGAGCAATGACGCAGGCATGTATAGAATCAAATTAATGATCATATCACTGAGCAGAGTTTGAACGATAGTGAAAAACCCAGTTTTAAAGTGCTCAAGATTTCTGCAGTGAGTAGTAGCAGTAATGGACTATCCATCAAGGGACATATCGATGGAGTTTCTTGTAGTATGATCGACACAGGAGCTAATGTTGCCATCATTCAGAAGGATTTAGCTCAACAATTTAAAGATAAATTCATTTGGATGCCATCCTGTGTTACCCTCCAGACTGCGTTTGGAGATGAAGTCTCAATAGCTGGAAAGTTAAACGTGAATATCACTTTGGAAGTGCCATCTACCATCACACGGCATATGTGGTGGATGTTACAGATACATGCATACTCGGATTGGACCAAGAAAAAATTGGAATAGAGGGCTTTGAGTCCTCTTGTCTTGGACTAGAGGACTTGACTTCACAAACTCAGTAGACATTAACTCCTATCACCATAAGTAAGTTAATTGTACAACAGTAGCAAAAAGAACACATGATCCAAAAACAATGTTTTGGTTCGGATGCATTTTTCAGTACTTGCATATCATCACAACCACCTTAAAAGAAGACAAATTTTCAGAATATTCCAAACTCTTTTAACTATATGCATAACCATTCTTCCAACAACCATGCTCAAAACATTCCTTCAAACAAGCAGCATCACAATTTTCATATGCATTTTTAGTTGTGTTCGTAGCTCTGATAGTGTGATATTTTTTGCCTTAAACTTAATTTTAAAATATCTATACATGCCAATAATGAAAGAAACTCATGTAACCTTCCTTTAAGAATATGATATTTTGCTGCAAAATTGCTAAAATTTGAAGTGTTTGGTGGATAGCCAGTGCGCAGTGCCAAGTTTGTGCAATTCTCTCATTTTATTTTTAAACAAAAACTTATCAGTGTATGCATATGAAGAAGCTGTAGGAAAAAATTACAAAAGGATTTCATAAAAATTTTGGGATTTTATTTTTTCATGTATCATATAATCTTTATTTAATAATTAAAATTTGTGTTTTAAATTGCTAAAATGTGTTTTCTTTTGGTAGGTTTTGCCCACTTACAATAAATTCAATAGTGTGATAGTCTTTTTTCTTAAAAAAGCTGTGAAATTCACCAGATTGCACCGTGGTCGTATTAATTCAGAAATGAACCTTTTTTTTTTCCCCTAAATGAACAAAGGTTGCATAACTGTTTTGGTTTCAAGTCACCTGTTAATTACAGGAGGGAATTATTTTAACACCATGTTTCTTAGTGAAGAATATCTGTCTTAGAGAAACAGAGTGAAAGTAAACTATACTTGGCAAATCCCAAGTCATATTTAAAAAAAGAAAATAAACAGTGATTTGGTGAAAAATACTGTGCAAGTAAAATTTATAAAGACTAGAATTGCAGGAAAAAAAGCCATCCCAAACTTGCCACACCAGGTGCTAAGGAAATACACTAAAAAGAAAGAACAACTCGGTGATGGCTGTTATGGAAAAGTACCAACATGTGTTGGACAGCTATAGGAGAGAACACTGATGATGCAATCGATCTTGAGTTGTTTTCTTCAAAGCATCTGTAAGCAAAAAATAAAAGCAAGCATTATAAAAATTCACAATTTTTTGAAACAGATTAATGGGAAACTGAATTTCAAATAGAAAAGTTAAGTGTATTTAATAATACAAATTGTGCATTAAAAGTTACACATAATTTAATGCAGCTTAAGTGTTTTGTGAAATGTGCTATTATTGTGTATTCTAGCAGTAAAATTAGCCCTACTATTTATCATATTAAAAGTTTATTTTTGAAATCATGATTTACTACAGTTTTTCCTGGCATTCTTATCTAACTTAATTTTTTTTTTTATGTAGGTGCAGTGAAGAGAGAATTTATTCATTTCGCACAATTGATTTCAGATCTTTTGTAATATATTCAACTTAATAATGGCATCAGGGGAAATGGCTGATTCAAATCAGTTTGAGAATTTTTCAAATGCAAGGCAAGCTGTTGATAAGGTATGTATGGAAAATGATATGTTAATGTGCAAAAATCAATCTTTAAAATTGTCGAGCATATCTCTAAAATATTCATATTTCTTGGTATGTCCTTGTTAACCTTTTTCAGGGGGTTGGGACATATATGTTCTGCATGTTCACTGCTTTAAATATGTCTAGAGAAATTTCAGTAAATCATGGAGATTTAAAATTTTCTCTTAAATATGGGAGTGTAAGACTCTGTTGATTTGTTTTTTCACTCCTTCCTACAAAAATAGCTGATTAAATGGTCCTAATATATAAAATTTGGTCTCTATAGCCCAGGGGAAAAGGGTGAGGTAGCTAATGTCATCTGAAATCAGCATGTTACAGACAGAATGATTAAATTTGCCAATTTTTATTATTAAGCATGGTGGCTGCTTCAACAAAGAAGTGCTTAAGTCTTCTTTCCCATAATCTCTTGTGCATATAATTTTATTTTACTGTCATTCTTTATCACCCTCATTGCCAATATTTCCAACATTTATAGCCCATATATGGCACATCCTTTAATATAGTTAAATTTCAAAATTTGTTTAATTTCTGTTTTGAAATGTGTTAGATATCAACAAAATGGTGTGTTTATCTTAAACTGGATATTAAAACATATTATCGTAGTCAAAAAAAATTTCAGTTCTGCTGTAGTGTTTAGCTGAAGCTAATTATCATGCTTTTGAGTTTGGTTGAATCTCTGCTTAATGGAAACACTTTAGTGCATTTAGAAGAAGAAGCCACAGAAGTTTTTACAAGAGATCTGAAAAAATATTCTTTCCTAATGGCATGGGAGATTCTTAACATGATAAACTGATCATCAGTGAAGTCGACAACTATCTACAAAACCATGTCTCTGAAATGAAAATATTCCTTAAATTTCACCCAGCGAAAGTAATAGTAATATCATAACAAAATTTAAATGTTAATAAAGCCATCATGGGAACCCCAAAAGGATACATTATATTCCTAACTAATATTATTGAATGCATGTTTAAGATTAGACTCAATGAACATCTCACCAAAAGTAATATCATGTTTTACTTAGCATAAAAAGATTAAAAATCACCACCTAAAATCTATGAATACCTAAAATCTGCATGATATCAATATTAAAATTAATATTTACAGTTAATAAAATTGTAAAATAGCAAAACTTTCCTTACAAATTTTTCTTAGTCTATTTGATAAATGAGTGGTTCAGTTTATGACTATATTAACTTTCTATGAAGCAGAGGCTGAGAGCTGTAAATTTTCTGGATTTTGAGTCAGTTTAATAAAAATTAAAGGCCGAAGAATTGCTGTTTTATGAAAAAAAGAAGAAGAAGAAGAAAATTGAAGGTTTTGAAGAAGACATTACTGTAGATTATATGATAAAAAAATTAAATAATCTGATAAATTTTAAATGACCCTGTCGAATGAGTGATAATGAAATCATTGATAGCCTTTTAAATCAACTGCAAGAAAATTTTTTATGTAAATTGATGCAGAAAATATTTAAAAAGATTTTTAAAGAAAGTTTGGCTTTAGAGAAAATTTATTTAAAATTTTTGGGATTAAAAAAAAAAAAGTATGGATTAAGCACTTGGGATCAATAGTTTGGAAATGATCGTAATATGCTCTTTTATGTGTCTCATGTTGTATTATAAAACATCAGAAAGAAATTAATTGCTTTTATTTATTTATTGCATACATTATTTGTTTATATATATTTTTTTAATGTACAAATTTTCTTTATGATCTGAAATCTTCATGCCTGTTGTCCCAAACTGTGCAGATTTTTTTGGTATTTATACAATCAGTTGATGGTTGTATACATGCTATATTGTATTCATGTTCACTTATTAAATTTCTTAAACTATTATTTATTTAAAAATATTAATAATGCAATAAGAAAAGATACTAATAATGAGCATCAAAAATTGTCATAATGTCGATATATTTGCTAATCTGTAATTTTGAAAGTTAAGTAGAACCTTCTATTTCAGCTGCAAGAGGGGAAACAGCATTGGATAAATGTGCGTATGTGATGACAGACAAAAATCCAAGAAGGCTGCTTCTAAATTTTCTCATTATTAATCTTCATTATTATTTCATTATTATCTTTAACATTTGTTCTCCAGCATGTTCTCCCCTCCCCCAAATTACATTTAGCATTTTCTTGTTTTCATCAAAAAATCATATATTTAAAATAACCTTTTTTTATGCTTTTTCGTGTGTCTTATTTTTAACAGTATTCATATTTTTCAGATTCTTCTACAACCCTTTACATATATAGAACAAGTACCCGGGAAGCAAATACGAACAAAACTTACAAAAGTATGAAAATTATCAAAAATATATTGCATAAATGGCTATTATTTTATATCATATTAAAATTCCTGGAAATCAAGTTAACTGTATAATTGTTTATTTGTTTAGGCTTTTAATTATTGGCTCAACATTCCTTTAGACAAATGCTATGAAATAGGAGAAATTGTACAAATGCTTCATAATGCTAGTCTTTTGTAAGTATTTTTTAGTCTGTATCTTTTTTTACCCTTTGAAATGTTCTGTTTTTCTGTGTATATTCGCCCTTAAGGGCTCACTTTATATTGAGTATTGGTGTGGCAATCCTGAGGTGCTTAGCCTTTCAGAAGATCACCCTCTTTATGAGTTGGGATTCATGATCTCAAAACTGTAGTGATTTTTCTTCCTTTCCTTTTACCTTATTCTTATCCCTTTGTTACTTTTTTCTCCTCCCTTGTGGTTTTCCTTTTTGAAGATTGGGACTCAAAAGTGAGATGCTGTTACATCCTTTTATTTCTAATTTCTTATGGAGAGAAAACCACCTATGTGTTTGCCATGCATGGAGACTAACATGCCTGGAAAGGAGGATCCTGGTATTTGAGGGACAAGGTACTGTCTCCAACACACTGCATTGCCCTTTTCTTCAGATTGGAACCGGAGATACTTAGCTGTCGTTGCTCATCAATTGACGGGTTGCTTGTGCTTAGTGTCAGTGGTTTGGGGATGAACTTTTAGAAGTTCTTGCCTTTAGGAAAGCTGATTGTGGGACTTCAAATTGTGTATAGGCCCAATTAGCCTTGAGCAGGAATCTGTGCCCCTTGTTGGACTCCATGGTGGGTGTAGTCACTAAATCCAAACCGTTTTTCCTCAAATATGACCTCGAAATTTTTAACAGATGTACAAAATGAAAATGTTTCTAATAAAAAAATTATAATAATTGTAAATACCAATTCTGCAGTAAATCCACCAAGTCCATGGTGTTTTCTGGTCTTCAGCAGCACTATAGTTGTTATCTAAACAGTGTTTTTATTTTTTATACTTAAATACATGCCGTCCTGTATTGGAGTGCCAAAAAATATCAAACACTGTGTAGATCTGTTAATTCAGACTGCTTCAGCAGCACAATCTGCTACCCTTCTTGTGTTGAACAAAAAGGGCAAGTCGATGTCAATGTGTCAGTGCATAAAACATTAAATTACTGCCATGATGTTGTCTCAGAAGTTGACCTTCATTTAATTTTGGAAGCAAAAATTGTCTCTGAGTTGTTTGACCAGACTATCTGTGTTTCAAGGTGGATCAAGATACGCAGAGAAGGTCAGTTGACAAAACAAAACACATAATCCTGACCTTCACTATGGCTGATCTGCCAAAATTATTGAAGGCCATATACTGACATTGCTCTGTAAAATCTTATATCCTCAACTTTTTGTAATGCTTTGGTGGCTCAGAGAGGTCCTGTTGCAGTAAACTCACATGTTCAAATTAGTCTTTAGAAGATCACAGCCATGAGAATTAAAATGCAGAGCCACCAAAAATATGTAATTTGTAGAAGTAACACAACTAATAGCAGAATTGCAGCCACCAAAAAATTTATCAGATGCTGATGTAGCAAAATCAGTAAATCATTAGACACCCAAACTACACTTGGCATTCGGCACAAACAGCCAACTTAAAATTTACAGGAGAAACCAATACAGAATCTTGTTGAAAATGCACCAAGTAAAAAAAAGAAATTATAAAACCAACAAACAGAAAATAATAGTTCAGGGGGGAGTAAAATATTCACAAAGCAAGTGTATGAGCTTGTTTGAGAGCATTAACTCAGAACATTCTGTTATAGATGTGTAAGAGGAGTAAATATCTCAGAGCATCTGCTTCTGCATTTGAAAAATAGTGCCAAGAGGACTAACAGCTTGCAAAATGGCCATCCTCATTGTATGGAATTGTCATGGCTCCCACCAAAATCATGTTAACATCAAATATATGATCAATATGCATCTTGAAACTAGAAAATGGACTATGTTTCGGAGCCTTTTGTTTGCCTAGAATGACAATCTTGTAGTAGTTGAAAATATCAGTGAAGTTGTATACTCAGCACACTGATTATCCCTCCAGTTTGTTTTGTTAAACTACAATCCCCCAAGCTGTTGCAATCCAAATAAATCTAAAGACCTTGGTTTCATTTGTTCTGTTTATCTTCAAATGACTACATTGATTAATGATGTTTAGATGACCTAAATGAGCAGCTACCTGAATCTTTTATCATAATTTGGGACTTAACTGACCATAATCCATTCTGGAGGGAGTAAGAGCACAAATCCTTGAGGCAAATAATTGTAGATCATTGTCTCCTTAACCCTTAGGACTCCTGTGTCGAGTATGGCTTGACATTGTATTTCTTACACCAACTCCTTTGTCGAGCTAGACTCGGCATTATACATTGTAATTTCTAAAATAATTTTAATTGTTTAAATCTATTTTTTCTTTCAAATATTTTCTAATATGTAAATAAAAATTAAATTTATTATGTTCGACCAAGTTAGATAATTTTAAGTTCTAAAAAGAACTTACTATTACTGTTATTGTAACCTTTGTCAAGCTAGACTCAACATATTACACGGTAATTTCTAAAATAATTGAAAATATTCAAAACTGTTTTTTTTTTCTTTCAAATTTTTTGTACTATGTGAATAAAGACTAAATTTATTATATTTGACCAATTTTTATTATTTAAATTTTTTTTTTAATATTATTTTTACATTAGGATCAAAAGAGTCATTTGTAGTGCAGTGTAGTGGTCAAACACACTACCCAAAGCCTCTGTTGTATTTCAGGGTTGAATTAGCTCCAAACTCAAGTTATAAAACAATAGCGAGAATTTTAATAAAAGTATAAGAAGTTAAGATTACATCAATCTGGTACGTGGATAACACTTAATCCAATAGTTCTTCTAAATGGTTACAAATGCTCTGTGCCAAAACAACAGCACATTCAGAAAGATTTGTCCATTCTAAATATCCTAGCACAATAAAATACTCCAAGCAGGACAATGATACGTCCAGTATTCCTGGTTGGCATACGATCTTCTAGCTTAGAAAAGTCGGCTCGTTGAACATGCAGAGGATAATTTCGAACTCCCGTACACACTCACTGAGGTATTCGTCTACAGCAGGGGTCGCCAAAGTGGTGTGTATAGACCCCTAGGGGTCTATTTAACAACAGTAGGGTCTATCTGACCCAAGGGGTCGAATGGGGATCTAGTGGGACTCGAAGGAAAAACAGTTCTTAATACACAAATCAGACATATCTAACTGCGTACGTAAAAATTTTAAATATTTTTATAATTGACTTAATATTATATTCTTTATAGAAAATAAAATAATACATCAGAAAACAATCTGCCCCTTTTTTTCTTTATGGGTTTTCGTATGTATACCGTGACGTCACAACTTCACCTTGTGACCAGTTTGTAATTTGCCCGACTCATAGTATGTAGCCAGAAGAGCGATTGAGGCTTATCCGTGTCTCTTGCTGGCGAACCCATCAACCAATTAGGAGCCTTTGGCGCAGACTTGGCGAGCGACGACACTGCCGTTGGCTTTCTATGCATTAAGCGCGAAGGGAATCTTCAGTACTCCGTTTTCTTTCTTCTTATGTGTGTGGTTTTAGTTCTTTTAGTTTTTTTCTTTTTTATACGGCAGTTACGCATTGTGTCGTTGGTTCGCCCTTTGTCTCCATCGCAAATCATATGAGTCAGATGCATATGTGCGCTTGTCCAATTCTACACTGGATGCTATAAACGCAAATATCATATGCATTTTCAGCTATATTTGTGAACTGTGAACAATATTAAATGCTTGTAGTGTCATTATTACTACTATTATATCTACCATTGGATAATTAGTTATTGTTTCTATAAAACTATTCGTTTAGTTTTGATATCAATTTTAATTATTGTTACTTGTGAAAAGGTAAGCTTTAATAATGTGGATTAGTATAATATACCAACTTAATTTTAACTTATTTACAGAACCCTAATTTAAAAATGACAGCTTCAGTATCTAAAAAGAAATGTCGGTATTATTCATTGGATTACTTAAAATTTGGATTTATTTGTTCACCGACAAATGAAACTATTCCTATGTGTCTTATATGCGAAAAAACTTTTGGAAATGAATACATGAAACCGTCAAAAATGAAAGATCATCTTGAAAGGCTTCATTCAGATAAAAAAAGTGAAGAATTAGAATTTTTCAAAAAACTCAAAGAAAAATTCACATGTCGACCAACTCTAAAAAGTTTTATGAAACAGTCTACTGAAACTGAAAATGAAGGAGGATTAATTGCTTCGTACAAGATTTCGCTTAATATAGCAAAGAGGGGAAAACCCCACACAATCGCAGAAGAAATTGTAGTACCTGCAATTAAAGACGTCATTGAGAATGTGATGAAAAAAGACTCTACTAATGTTTTAAAGTCTTTGCCATTAAGTGCAAATTCTGTAAAACGGCGTATTGACGAAATGGCCGAAGAAATAGAAAACACAGTAGTTTTCGGAGCTAAAAAAATTGCAAGTTCTCTATATACAACTTGATGAATCTGTTTTTGGCGTTTCTGCTATTCTTATGGCGTATGTTAGATATTTCAGTAAAATTAAAGGAGAAGTCATTGATGAATTTTTATTTGCTAAATATCTTGAAACCGATGGGAAGGGAGTGACAATTTTTAGATGTTTACAAGAATATTTAAATAAATATGACATTCCGCTTGAAAATATAATAGCAGTAGCCACAGATGGCGCACCTTCTATGGTAGGGCGTTACCGAGGTTTTGCTACATGCCTCAAAGAAAAAGTGCCCGGTATTCGTACTATTCATTGTGTGTTGCATAGACACAACTTAGTAGCAAAATATCTGAGTTCAGAGTTACATGAAGCTTTACAGTTTTGTATTAAATCTATTAATCAAATTAAAGCTCAACCTCTTAAATCAAGATTATTTGCCAAACTTTGTGAGGAAAACAATGAGTTATTTAACCAATTACTTCTGCACACCGAGGTTAGATGGTTGTCTAGAGGTGTATGCTTGCAACGGCTCGTCAATTTATTTGACTCCACGACAGAATTTCTGAACGAAATAAATCCTGTTCTAAGCAATGAACTCCAAAACAATAAGAACCATATTTTTTATTTAGCAGACTTATTTGGAAAATTTAATGA